CGAGAACTTCCGACTGGAATAGATGAGGAAAGGAAAGAGGGCCTGTGTTGACAATGAAACCAGTATTGCTTAGAACAGAAAAGACAGATTCTCGAGGATGTTTTAGGGAGACACTTGCTAAGACAATTCAGTGCGGCAACTGACGGAAGGGATGAGAACATTTTCCATGCTTCCTCAAGACAGATCACTGTGAGGACGCTATTAAAAGAGCTTGGGAACACAGCAGGAAGAACATTTCTTTTTGGCGAGAAAGCCAAGATAAATTCAGTTTTGAGTAGTTGAGTATTGGGGGTCTGATCTGGATACCAATCGTGAAACAAATCTCACTACAACCTAGTGCCTTAAAATGACAGATCATCCTCTGTCTCTGTTCTGCGTGTTTTCTGTGCTTAGGTGGGCAGTGAGTGCAATGACACAGCCACGGGAGCTGCGGCTGGAGGAAGGCTGGAGTGACCCGATGCCCAAGGCCGCTTCCTGGCTTGCACACCTAGGGTCCTGGCTGGGCTTCACTCAGTAAGGTGGCTGCACTGCTTCCACGGTGGCTGGCTTCCAGGAAGGCTCAGCAGGTGCTGTTAAGGACAGGTCTAGCCTCGGCAAAGCATAGGTCTAGAATTGGGACAGCTCACTGCATACTTCACTGGGCACATACACAGCGTGGTCACAGGCCAGCCAGCCTTTGCTCAGGGGAAGGAAAACAGGCTTCAAGGGGCGGGATGGAGACAAGTGTGCAGACATCCTTCCTCCTCCGCAGTTCTTGCAGGATATATGTGGAGATGCTTTGGGGACAAGCGTGAACGTGAGTCTGGATCTACAGAAATGAGGCAGAGGTACAAAGGTGAATGGAACAATTTTCGAAGAAAATTGAGCGGTAAAACCATGGAAATGAATGAGAAGATCAGGGAGCTGACAATAAGAAAAGAACTATACTTAACAGAGGAATTTAGTGGGGGAGGCCAACAAAGGGGAGCGGAATGCGGGGAGCCAGTAAATAAGGGCCCAGCCTGCAAAGAGAAGAGAGGTAAGAGTATCAGGAAGGAGTGATCAAGGGAGAAAGGCTGCCTAGAGACGAGGAAGGAGAGATGTGAGCGGGTGGGGAACTGGAAGCAGGAGGCACCAGTGACTTAATGACAGCCTCGGGAGTGTGACTGACCTGGGCAATTGACCTATTGGAGCCAGCAGGCAGCTCTGCACACCAGGGGCCGACCCACGGCCAGGATGGGGGAGGAGGAGCAGGAAGCTGCTTATAGTTGTGTGCCCTTGGGAAGGTGGGGAGGGGTCAATAGAAAAAAATGAAGACAGAGAGAACGAAGGAAGGACTGGCAGAGGTGGTCTGTGGAGGAAATGTTTGGCTTCTGGAAGGATTGGAGACGCCAGATGAGACAGGAAGAAGCAAGTAGAGAATGCCTTCGTATATTGGGGCATTTGGGGGCATGGTGGAGGGCCGCTGAGTCCTGTGCTATCTGTGAAGAGGGACCTAAACCGCTCCATCCTGGTCAGGATCCTGGGACTTCCACAGCCAGCTGTGCTTGGCGCCACCCTCCTCTCGGAAAGGCCTTTCTTCACCATATTTGCTTGTAAGAACTCTCCCTAGCCCCCAAGCCCCTTCTTCCAGGGTGCCCTCCCTGACTCCTCCAGCAAGAAGCAGGAATTCACCTTCTCAGAACATCTATAGAACATTTCTTCTGCTTCCAACTCCCTGTATTGCTTTCCCGATACATTTAATGGCATCTCTTCCTAAGCTTTTTGCAAATAGAGCAAAAAAAAAGAGGGCAGAGGGGAGTAGGTTTGATGTCACCTAAGTTGGTCATGGTACACAAAACTGGAGAGTATTCAGAAGCCAAGTTTTGTTTATCTGTTTGCCTAACTGTTTTGCTTCAATATTTTAATTGTTTACAAAATGGAGGTAGAATTCAAATAATTTCACAAGTTAAGGATTTATAAAGATAAAGAAGAAACAACTTCAAGAGGGAGGGGAAGTCACATGCTCAAAAACTGCCAAAAAATATCTGGAAAAAGTATGGGACTAGCCATATTAAATAACAGGTAACTTTATCTTGTGATAGGTAGATGGGTCATAGACTGTCTTTCTCGTCTTCTTCTATTGATGTAAATCTCTGCTCTAGAAAAACTGCTTAAATTAATTGTATAGAAACTTGAAGATTTTACATAAAATTATTTTCAGCTAATACGCGTTCTCCTTTGCAGAAACAGAAATTGACAGAAAAATAGCATGAATTAAGAGGTGAGTGTTTCGGTCTAAATAATTTAGTCAACTAAGTCAAAGATTATGACAAAAATAAAGAGCCAAACAGGCCAGCTCTTTGTGACAGAGGTTGATATGACAGTGTCCCATATACTATGGATGAAGGATGCCTCTTTGTAACAGACAATAAAAGATGAAAGGCTGGTACACTACAGCCATTGGCTTGGAAAAGCAAGATTTTGATTTTTGTGCCTTCACCACATCTTGCCTTTCATAGAATAATGATAGAATGTACAAATATTTTGTTTTCTTGCAAACTGAAATACAAATCCTTTGAGGAGAAGTGTGTCTTCCATGTTTGTGTCCCTATGCCTATATATGAGTTCCTGGGAGGGATGGAAGGTGAATAAATGAATGGATAAATGAAGCATGGGCATTAAAATAAACTTTATTTGAATAAAATCTGAAAATTGTAAGGCAAAAATCATAAATCAGAATGTGGGTATTACAGTGAATATAATATATAAATATCCACCCCAGATACTGAATTATATATAATAATTGTGCAAGTATAGGAACCTATACATAAATAAAGTGAGTGGCTAGACTGCCCCAGCCTCTGACATACAAGTTAGAAAATGTTGATAGAAGTGTATAAAAATATTATCCAGTGTTCACTGGTTGGAAACACTGAAACTAAATATTTTGAGATATTTCAGGTTACTCTTTGGTGTAAGCAGATATTTTTAGTGAACAGGACTTTTCATGAATACAGACTTCATGAGTCATTTTTTTTCTCTCTTTCTACCTTTAACTCCAGCAAAAGCCATTTTGTATCTAAGGCTGGCAATGGGATGAGAGCAGTAACGTTTTTTTGAAAATTGTTAGAGGAGACCCAGAGTTCATCATTTAGCACTAATCACAGTGCTAAGAGAAATGAAAATCAAATAGATGTTTTTAGATTGCATTATTAAACTTCAAAAGCTAACAAAATATTCTAGAAAGAGATAAAACATTTCACTCTACCCTTGGAATTCTTCGCTTGGAATAGGTGATCTGTCTGATTTTATTATGCAGAACAGATCGATGACATCGAACTTGGAACAGTCCACATAGGATAATAATTGCATTTCCATGATTTGGAGTTCTTGCAAATTAGGCTGTAAATTGTCTGCCTAGGCTACTCTGTAATCTTGCACATAGTGTCTAACTTCTTTTGTGATAATGTGAAGAGAGGGGAAAATCACTCCAAAGACATTAAATAAATCTTCCTCAAATAATGGTCACAAAGTTGTAACCATCATTTGGTTACCATGACATTTAGCATATACCGGTGTGTTTGTGTTTATGGATACACACACATATGCTCCGGCTATATTCCTTTGTCCTTTGACTTGGGAAACAGAAAAGATGATAAAGAAAAAAATTAGACAAATCCACACACATTGGGCTTTAGAGGGGCTAAGCCAATCTATTCATCAGACCGACATGAATTACAATGACCAAGGCTTGTCAGGAGAGTTGCTTAGCTACCTGGCAAGGCAGGGCAAACTTAGAGAACCCTAATCCAAGTGCCCTCCCTACAAATCTACACATCACATCCATTAGGAAGTAAAGCATTAAGAGAACACCTATTTTGGCATACAGTATTTTAAAAGCATTGTTCACAAGCAAGGACTTAAGGATACATACCTATGTGTATTTCTTCATATATATTTATATATATATTTGATATATGTATTTATATATATTTAATATATATAGAGTATACGTATTTGATTAGGATGATTTCTGAGTTGCGTGTGTGTGTGTGTGTTCAGGATGATATGAGATGAGATCTCAGAAATCATCCTAGTGAAGTAATCAGACGTTTTAATTTAATGGCTGAAGAGAACTTAAGTATCAGCAATATAATTTTCCCTTACTGATGTTGGCATCCACACGTCTTCAGTGATAAAATATAAAGGGAAAAACCTAAAGAAGGATTAAGTAGGTATGTTTGTGTTCCCTTCATCTCATGTCATGTGTCTGAGGAAATCAGATGACCTCGGGGTTGTGCAGGGCACTGCTCATTCCAGAAGCCTTTATCCCATATCCCATATCAAGGTTAAAACGTCCATGCATTTCCATTGGCTGAATGACCGCATATATTAATGCCATTCAGAACAGCTTTAACTTGCACAGCTGCCTTCAGAATCCTATGACTAAGCTTCTAAATTGGCCTGGAAGGCGCATTCACCGGAGTTGCCTTATCTCTGCACCACTTACTGCCTTCCACCTCCCCCTCAACTTATCGTCATCTCAGGCAGCTGAGGTTTCTCCTTCAAAATCAAAAGCCCTTGGAGAATAGTCCTGCTTAGAGCTGTGGGTTGCTGAAAATGCATGATATGGCATGTCTCTCTCATTTACATTTTGATTAAGTGAAAGCCTCTTAATTTGGGTCATTATCGATACATAAATCTGTAGAGAAAATGAACATGCATTTGTAATGTAACCAACATTACATGATTTATTGTTCTTATAATGTGTAAATACAGAAAGGAAAAAATAGCAGAGTCCAGCTCTCAGATGCCCTGGAAACGAAGCACCACTAGGGGACTCACCGGGCGCACCTACATGCTCTGAGGTCTGAGTGGATCGCTGCTGGCTCGGGGCTCACCTCGCACAATCACCTGCACTGGGCTAGGTCTCTGATTTTAAAAACCATCATTCACATATCTGTCTACTGCATACGGTTGACCTTTCTGTGGAGGGTTTGTGAGTGGTAAAATAAAAGGCTCAAAATGGGTTTCCATACCTGATTGTGGACTTTGTTTGGGGATTTTGGCTACCGCTTGAGGACTGGAGGTGGAGTGCGTTCGCTGGTTGGCAGAGCCATGGATGCTGCTGGGCACGGCTGCGGAGACGTTCTTGCGAGGCTTCATGTCCTGCAGCCACATGGGCGAGGCTTCGAAGGCCTGCATCCTGCGGGCATGGCTGTTGGCGTTGACTTTCAGATAGGCCTGGGCCTTGTGCTCCTGAAGCTCCCCGTAGTTGGCATCAGTCACCCTGCACTCGTATAAGCCCTCATCCTTTTTCCTCACTTTGGAAATCTGAAGCTTGTGGGAGATGTCATTGCCTTGGACTTTCACTGTCTGAAAAATTGCAGGCGAAAAGAAACAAAGTGCTACATCAAATGCTTTTGCTCCCCTTTTTTACCCTGAACTTGCTAACGCTGGAAAGGTAAATGGTCTTAACGGCCCCACAGCCATAGTGAAGGAGCTTTATGTTTTCTTAATGTCACATCTGAAGGCCTTAGTTACCCTATTCCACCAACCACTGCACTTGCAGACTCGGGCTAATTAGTTCAATGCAGTGAGTGCCAGATTCCGTCAGCCTGCGGCCCCCACTGTCCACATGCCAGGAGCTGCTCTGTCATTTTTCCATCACGGGATTGGCCTCTGCCTGCTTAACTCAGTTAAATGAAGCACAAGCCAATAAGGCCCACTCTATAGGTGAAACAACCTCTTGTTTTCCCTGTGGTCTATAAACGAATCCCTCAACTCTGAGACATCACAAAAATATTCTGTTGGTCACGAGTTTAAGTGAGAATGCATTTGTATTCCCACACTGGGATGACTACTAAAGGTGCTGTTAAGACACTCGGATATTAATATTCTTCTTACATTTTAGATGCAGTCTTGCCTCTACTCATGGGGTGGCAGGGATTGGGGCACGGCTTCACATCACCTGAAGTCTTGTTGCTCAAAGTGTGTATCCCATGCCATTATTGGCACTTTACGCTGTCAGGACCTGGGATGCCATCGATAAAACACTGGCTTGATTTTCAAAACTGAAATTAGCTTTCTTATTTCTGCTAAGTTTATCAGATTAACCACAAGATCATATATCTGATATATATGTTAGATGTAATATATGATTTTATATTATATATAATGTATTATATATGTAAGCATCTTTATCAGAACAGTTAGCTTTGATACATAATCATATGTTCTTCATAACTGAGACATGACTGGTTTCATAAGACATTTGGGATTCAAGAATTTGGTTGATTTTGAAAGATACAGGAAAGAAGTGAAGGAGGCCAAAAGTTATTTTTTCTGCTAATGACCACCACCCTTTCAAAGGGTCATAAATTATTAGGAAAATCTGAGAGATACTCATCTGTTTTTACATATAGGGGTATATATACAAATAATTTCCAACATTTGAACCATATGTATTTATGCGTATATAAAATTACATATAAATATGCTAATACTATAAAAATGGAAACTAATACTTCCATGTTTATTTTGGGTTAAATCTCCTAATAAAGTTTGAGGTAGTTAGAGTTGATTATCCCATTTTATAGTTGAGTAAACTGAGGCTCGGGGTGTTTGGGTCACTGATTTCCAACACTGAGTGTACATTAAAATAATCTGGGGTGCTACTGAAAATACTTCCATATGGTGTAATGCAGAAACATTAAGTCTGCATCTCTAGAGGGCAGAGCTTATGTCAGTATTTCATAAAAGCTCTCTCGGGAATTCAAAGTTAGTAACTACTGGTTGAGAACATATGTTCAAGGTGACACAGTGGATAAACAGGGAACAAACTACTTTCTGCCTCAGTCTGTGTCTAGAACTCTCTTCCACTCATTAACTTTTATGCACCGTTGCCATAGGTAGTACTGTCAACAGCTGTATGCGGAATCATGTTTCTCATTGTATGCATCCAGAGGTCAGGGTGTGTGAGGCTGTTTTTGTCAGCGGTCTTTAAATGATAGGGAGATGGGTGAACGGTGAAGGTGGAATGGTCACCAAGAAATCTATCTAATTATATATGGATGTGAAAAACAAAATATTTAAGAAAAAGCTAGATTTTACCAATAAAGCTTGTCTAATATTGTAGGAAAACAACAGTTTCTGTGATATAAGAATAATTATTCTAAAAAGTCAGAAATTTTATGAGTTATAAATCAGAGTTTATGGTTGATATTTCATCTTTGTTATTATTTCTTCCATATTGAGGTTACACATTTAGATCACAGAACCGGATTCTGTGTAAATGGATTCTCTGTAAATATATTTGTACAATTTTAGTTATGATGTTAAATCCAATCTACCACTTTATGCGTTTGTAAGACCTTTAAATACATTTTCTTTTCAAATGTTGGTCATTGGGATTTTAGATTCCTAAAAACAAATAACAGTAATATGTTTACACTTAACAGATTTCCGCCTTTTGTATTTCATACCTATTTCGTTTCTATTTATCAAATGATGCAGTATTATTAATATTAACTGAGGCTGTGTGGCTTCACTTGAGGTACAGTAAAAAAAAAATAAGATTTTCATTTTTTAAAAGCACACTTAGTAAAAGTAACAAGCAATAGCGTAGAACTGTAAGTTTACATTTTCAATAGGTCCGTAGGTCCTGTAATATGGTTTTACATTTATATTGCCTTTTGGCATTATATGATTTTGAATAACAGCACTGGAAATACATTCCATGCGTTAAAATGACATTCAAAACTGAGTTGCTTAATTTCATCACAATTTCCGTATCCTGTTGGATACTTTATATTTTCTTCCTTAGAAATATTTTCGTATGTTAGTGTTTTACTTTCTATTAAAGGATAATTATTTCCTTAATTTTGGGTAGTTATTGGCATTGTATTTATTCTTACTGTTAGGCAAGTCACAAAAAGCAAGGGAAGAAAGTGTCACACAACCTCTCCGGATAGCAAACAATCGTGTAGAATGTTGAGCTACTGACGTGACAAAATTTTATTTAGGGACTCTAAACGTGCTTCCGTTTGTCTGTATCTAGTGAGGCCAGCCTGGGCCCCGGCCGCCCTGCAGCGCGGGCAGCGCCTTCTGGGGACAGGGAGGGGCCGCGCGTCCCGGGCCGGGTCTGGGGTCCCCGGGGCGCCCCGCACTCACGCTGATCTTCGTCCCGTCGCTGTCCGGGTCTCTGTCGGGCAAGAGCTCCACCTGCCGGCGAGGAGCGAAAGCTCAGTCCCGCGGAGGCCGCCCGCCCGCCCGCGCGCCCGACACAGCGTTGGCCGCCCCGGCGGGACCGTCAGGGGTACCCGGGGTCCGGAGAGCGACCTGCCCGCGCTCCCGACACGGCGTTGGCCGCCCCGGCGGGACCGTCAGGGGGACCCGGGGTCCGGGGAGGGACCCGCCCGCGCTCCCGACACGGCGTTGGCCGCCCCGGCGGGACCGTCAGGGGGACCCGGGGTCCGGGGAGCGACCCGCCCGCGCGCCCACCCCCGTCCAGGCCCCCGCCGCGCCGCTCCCGCGCCCCCACGTGGTCCCCGCGTGGTCCCTGCCGCGGAGAACCTGCGCTCGGGAGGCGGGGCCGGGAGCCGCGGCGCGACTGGGTGTTTTTCGCGGGCTGCCGGGTGCGAACGCGGGCCCGGGGGCGGCGCGGGGGTGGGTGGCGGGGCCGGGGCGGCCGGCGTGCGTGAGGGTCAAGAGCCCGGAGCACATTCCGCGCCTGGTCCGGGCCGCCCTCCCGCCCCGCGCTGCACAGTCTCCCGCGGGCTCCCAGGGGCGCCGCTTCACGCTGCGCACGGCCTCCCTCCTGCCGGGACCCCTGCCCCGTCCCCCCGCCCCACGGTCTTCCTTGTCGTCCCCTCCTCTTCTCCCCGCTCCTCCCCTCACCGCGCTCTCTCCCGTCCTTCCAGTCCCCTCCGCGCGCTCCGCGCTCCCCTAGTCCCTGCTCTCCTCACTTGGCTTGCTCCTCTCTCCCCTCCCTCCCCCTTCTCTATTCCTCCTCTCTCCCCTCCCTCCCCCTTCTCTCTCTATTCCTCCTCTCTCCCCTCCCTCCCCCTTCTCTCTCT